GCGTGTGACACGAAGCCTTCCGAGGGCAATTAAGTCGACCTACGCAAAAGTTCGTGTTTTCAAGGGAACCACACGTCCGTTCGCGAGACAAGGATAGGTTGTCTATGCTGACCGTCGCAATAGTTATTTATCAGTTCGAGTGCGCCTGTGGCGCAACCTATATCGGTCGAACGGCGCGGTACTTGTCCCAACGCGTGAGTGAACATTGCTCCCGTTGGTTGCAGCAAGGTGGCACTAGGGCCATTAGCAGCTTTATTCTGACTCATATCGTCGACAGTGGACAACAGGTGGATCTAAGGCGTGCCTTTGGAGTAGTATACAGGGTTCCACCGCACTGATCGAAAGGTCAACGCCTTCGTACAGTTGCGACGGCCGAAGCAATTTGCATTTGATTATTCCAACCGTCCTTATGCTCGCAAAAGAAGCTAGTCCAGGCTCTTCAGCTTTGTAGCCCGCGAAAACTGGGGATACTGAGGTCAACGGCATGAGGTCAAGCTCCGTAGCACGTAATTGACCCGCTTCGATTTTTCGTCTATGTTACCTGTGCCATCTGGGTCGATTTTACCCTTTCTTTGCTTAGCACTATATATGATTGTAATGGTCTGGGGACTAGTCATTGAAAGCAATTGCTCACCAAATGGTCTCGTTGTTCTCATTAATTTGAGGAATCACAAGTGGAACAACACTGGTGTCCATGATACAGGAAACTAGAGTAAGAGACGCCGGAAGTGTTATCGCCGTAATATTTCTTGATATCCAAAAAGCCTTTGACCGTGTCCCACACAACTTATTGCTGCAGAAGATTATGTCTTATGGTATCACAAATTCGCTTCTAAAGTGGTTGTCTTCCTACCTCGAGGGTAGAAAGCAAGCAGTCAGAATTAGTAACTGTACATCTGAAGCCATTTCAATATCTAGTGGTGTGATTCAAGAAAGTGTGCTGGGTCCGCTTTTATTCTTAATCTACTTTAATGATCTCCTTGATGAAATTATGTTCGGGAAGCCATTCCTCTTTGCTGATGACGTTAAAATTGTGTATTGTTCCGCCCCTGGGCAAGGTAGTCCTAATTTAGCCTGTATTCAATCTGACTTGTCAGCATTAGAGTACTGGAGTAACTCCTGGAAGTTGTACTTTGCCACTGACAAGTGTAATCTATTGTACTACGGTTGTGACACTCCACCGAACATCCTAACCTTAAACAACACTCCTATTCCTGTGTGTGGCGCAGTCCGAGACCTTGGTCTAAGATATTCCGCCTCATTTAATTTTTTAGAGCAAGTTATATTCTTGCAGGCTTCTGCCAGAAAAACCACCGCCTACATAAACCGAACTAATATCTTTAGGGAGTTCAGGCTTCAAGCCTTTAAAATGTGTGTTAGGCCGAAGCTTGAATACTGTACAATAGTGTACGGAAATCTGAGAAAAGTGGACATCATAGCACTGGAAAACATCCAACGATCATTCACGAAGAGATGCTTGAAAATGCCTATGACTTATGACTTACCATGAGCGTTGCGAGTTTCTAAAACTGCAGCCGCTACGGCTGCGCAGACTCAAACTAAATCTGTGCCTTCTCTACCACTTATTATTCGGCTTAAGCTTTACAGCTTAGCCACAATTCGAGTTTCAGGCTCTCAAGTGCTACGACATAAGAAATAGCGAGCTGATACTGCATATTTTAAATTATAGTACCAAGCTCCGCTCAAAGATTTTCTCAGTAAAATATGCGTTGATATGGAAGAAACTTCCATCGAATTTCAGAAAATGCTGTTCCTATTTGCAATTCAAACGGATGATCAATGTTCACCTGATCGTTTCCAATATCTTGTCAGCAATTAGCTAAAAGATGACTCTAGATGATTTGTACGAGAAAGGTCCTGGATACACTTAAAAGTTGTAATATCCCCTAATTGTCTCAATAGTATAAGTTGATCTTCCCATGGATGAACTCCTTAGTATGTATTTACAGTTTATCTTATTCCTATCAATCCTGCACCCCCGTCTAACCAATACCTTCTTCTCCTTTGCTGTACTGTTTCGGAGATGAACTACGTCTTTCAAGCTGAAATCTCCGCATAATCGTCGCTGTTCGCAATGATTTTTGCACCAAACTGTTTGGTCTAGTAGCAAAAGCTTGTAAACAATATTATGCTTTTGGTTACTCATACCTTGTATTTTTCCTTATTTCACTGCTGGCCACGAGTGGGCTGATCTCTTGAGGTGACGGATTATAGCATCTAAGATTAAAAAAAATACCCATGCAAAGTATACTGCCACTGACTCGCCGGCAAATGACAAAAAAGTGCCATACTTGAATGATCCGCATGACGGATCGGGCTGCCCTAATAAAAAAGGACATTTGTGAAACAAGTTATGGCTTACATACTATTTTGCCACACCGGCACACAGACCGTTGGAGCATGGAAGTGCGGTTAAAAGCCATCGAGGGATTAACCCGCATGGAAGTAGGTCCCCTTGGGACAGTTCCATGGGTGGCCGTATCACTTTACTTGAACTTTGGCCGAATGTGCATTTGTTATTGTTCCCTGTTTCTTGCTCGCTCTAATACTATGGAACTGCCATTCACTTCAGAAACCTATTTGGGACCCGTTGTACAAAACATGAACAATCTACTATTTTATGCGATTCCGATGTACAAATTGATCAGTCCCCTCAGTTGGATTGTGCCTCACACCGTCGAGGAACAAAATGTTTATTTATTTATAACCGGCTAAAGCGCCGAGATAGAGACAAATAGATGCACTAAAAACAATGACGGGTCATTAATGAAAGCACCTGAGATTCCACAAGCGATAGGAAGAAACAGCCAGATACCAAATGCGGTTGGATATGTTAACTGGTAAACAGAACCGCGGAGAATCTCCTCCAATCGCTGTAAACAAGGAACTTGAGAAAGTCCAATCTAAATACCATGCATATAAGTCACAGTGGACAGAGATAGAATCGGCATCAATCTGTACAAAATGTCACAGCAGCCATGGTAAAGGTCAAGTCACGGGTAGAGATTGCGTATCGAATGCAACACAACTTTGTGTGCTGTAGAGCTACAGGTTAGATTTGAATTATGGGCATTTCAAAATGACATATGGTCCGGGTGGGATTAAGGAGAATGGGGGATTTCCTATCGCATACCGCAATACACCAGGTGGTATAATCAACAGCCCAAATGCGTTGTAAAAACCACAAAAACAAAGCGGGAGGTCAGTGTCTTATTTGTGTCCACATTTTTCTTTCACTCCCACGGAAAAAACGCAAAAGATCGAAGTTGCTGACTCTGACCTAACACCGCTTTCGCCTGTTACGGAATCGGATCGCGCCTGGCCGAATTCCTCGGATCAGTTGCTCCGTGCACATAGGCTGTCAGATGCCAACGATTAGTACGTAGATAAACGACTTCCATTCTTAACCTTTGAGAAGAGGTATGGCGTTTTGGAGTGAACACAGCTGCAAGTATTTTGGACATCGAGCCTAGACCGATTGGAAATGTGCGCAAGAATGTAGCGAAAAGTTATTCGAACTGTGTAGAAAATGACTTCATAATACATCCGAACAATAGTCATCAAATGTTTAGGAGTCTGTCATGTTGATAAAAATGACTGCTTCCGGAAGAATACGGAGGTGATGCTCGCAGCAAATCATCCGACTACATTACCCGGGCATTCAGGAGAGAAATTCCCTAAGAAAATAAAGAATATTCCAAATAAGGTCGCAGTTGATCTTGCGCAGCTAATTCCTGTCTGATGATGATGATGGGTGTTAAGTCGTCATGATGAATGAAACTGGAACGCCGATTCCACATTAAATGTCCACATGAAGCGTCGTTGTGAAAATCTAATTTACATAGGGTTAAAAACCTCACTGCTCAAACTTAATGTTGCTGGAAAACACTGGGACTTGGTATCCCAAATGCTTGATAGTCCTGAAATTCATCTTCGGTAGGATAATAAGAAAACTGAGTTCAAAGCATCAACGGTCGCGTAAAAAAAGCTGAACTGATGTTTCGGTGCCATACAGCAAAGACGAGCTGGGGAATGAGGAATGGGTTGAATTCATCACATCTAGACTTTGTCAGACGGTCGTCATTCGTCTGCATAAGTTCTGGACGGCCGTTTCATCTTCTTCAATATCATAAACAGTGGAGATTCCGTCTGCCGGTGGCCGAGTGGTCTGCGCACCTGGTTTGCAACCACAAGGTCCCCGGTTCGAATCCACGTATGCGTGGGCGTCCTCGCGGTATACACAGCCCGCGCGCGACTAGTGGTGGTCGCGCGGCAGCGAAGCGCCGTTACGGCGTACAGCCGGCACATCATTATTATTATTGTTATTCTGCCCTTCGTGAGATTAAAACTAGCCAACTTATTATTACGAGGTCGTGATCAAGACCACCAGGGTACGCGGGACGGTAACGACCGGCATGAATTACTAGATGCGACAGAGCGCGACTCAATCACAACTGAATTGCACGTCACTGCTGCGCACAGGACACGGTAGCTCCCCAAAGCAACATGTTTCAAAGCTACAGCAGGCAATTAACTTTTAGTCGTCTAGTGTCTTACTGGACGTTCGGTGTCTGAGCCGTGATGTGATGTGCTCAAGACATAAAACGGAAATCTTCCTGAAATTAGAATTATTATGGGTGAAAGGAAAAGGATCTAGCGTAAGAGCTAGGCGATATTCAAGGTCAGTAACACACGACCACAAATAACTGGGCACTGTGTGATGGCAACATCCGAGAAAGAACTTCCGTCTATCGCACTCCACAGAACCAGTAAATAGTGGTTAGACTGTACAAATGAGGATATCAGCTGCAGAGTTCGTCACGGTTGTAATGAAAAAAGGGCCCCAACAACTGGCAATTTGTGAGCATCTTTGGGGAGAAAAAGTAAAAATGCGAAAATCGGATCACTGTTGTTCCAAGCAACGGCATCAACCACTCTGGAAACTTCGAGAAATCTCCTTGCGACATGCATATACTTACCGGTTTTAGTCGTAGGCCTCGGGCTCCGATGTCGTCTGTTTTTTCAGTTGCTGTACAAGTGCCTTGGAAGTTGTACTCCTTGACGCTAAAGGAAAGATACGGAGATAGAAAATTGAAACATATATAAGCAGAAGAATCACAGCAGATAAGATAGTGTATCGCTGATAGGAAAAGTAAAACAGCTGAGGAGATACGAGGGTCGATTAGAAGTACACGTTGTGTGGATGGATTGAGACGCGCAATCTCAAAGTGGACCGCGAATCCCATTGAAGTGAACCTTGGTCATTCGACCACACAACGTGTACATCAAATTGACACTACAATCTGTTAGTAACCGTCGTGCCAAGCTTTGCGCGTCGTGACCCGGTGGCTTAGAGGTAGCGGTCACAACTAACATCCCAATGGTCCCGGGTTCGATGCCTGCTATCTTTATCTGATGAGAGGAAATAACCTCGAAACGCGTCATGGAGTGCAGTGGTTTCAGGGGAGCAATACCCAATTTGCTGCTGCTTCATCAGCTACCGTCCTAGTGATCGAATGGTCAAGGTTCACTTCAATAGGAATCGCTGTCCACTTTGAGATTGCGCGTCGCAATCCATCCACACAACGCGTACTTCAAATTGACTTTCCAATCTGTCAGTAACCGTTGTGCCAAGCTCTACGCGACGAGACCCGGTGGCTTAGAGGTAGCGGTCACAACTAGCATACCAATCGTCCCGGGTTCGATGCCTGCAATCTTTATCTGATGAGAGGTAGTAAACTCGAAGCGCGTCATGGTGTGCAGTGTTCAGGCGGGCAACACCCAATTTGATTCTGCCTCGTCAGCTGAGGAGATAGTATGACTGAGTGGTATGATTTGTACGGATGTGGGGACATGGATATTGTCTACTTCACCGGCTGATAAAATAACCGAGTTGTTGCTAACACCTCAGGTATTGAGGTCGACGTATCACCCAGAGCAAGGTTCACGACGGACCTTCAAAAATGACATAGTGTTTTTGAGGTCGGTGTCCACATGAATGCAGACATTTGTCAAAAGTCGAGGGATCTGTAGTTGTGACGTTTCTATGCTACGCTTCTCATCTCACCTAGCATCGACTGGAGGAGCAAAGTCCGTCTCAAACGAGTAGACTGATTAAACGACTGAAAACACCAAAGTCCTGAACGCTGCAGCCTCACGAATGGCGAATGATCGGGGATTCTGCCACATGGCTATAAAGAGGAATCCGAAAGACGACTGGTGATTTCAAACCACCGATAATGAGGGTCAGTTAGCAAACGCACCACTGGGAATTGCATTGGGCAGTTGCGGTGGCGACGACCTCCGCAGTGGGAAATGTCCAAACGACGCGGAGGAAAATTGTCCCCAACGCCAATCGGAAGCCATGCGTGGAGAGACAAATATCAGATGGAATTAATGCTGTTATCAAGCTAAAAGTGATGGCCGCCACTATGGCATTTTGTCAAAAGAATTCGCATACTGGTAATGAGTATTCGAGTCAATTGCACCGTACACACACGTCAACAATTCATCGAAGGACGCTCTACCTCAAGACGATGTGATCACATGTACAGTTGTATGGGCGTTCTAGTGATGACGAGTTAGCAACATCCTGCCAACTCATGGATCAGCGCCTGACACAGCATTTCACAGTCCGCACTTTGTCATTGAGTGAGTACGCGTGAGTAAATGAATAGCGCTATCAAGTACAGACAACACATATGACCTTGTCGCGTGATACACTACCCAAAGTTGAAATCGCTCAATGAACGCCGACTGTGCACAAAAATAATCTAGTACATTGCACGGATCGAATACAGAGGTTGTATCCTCAGTGTAGGTGAATGCACAATTACTGACCAACAAACATAACGACGTGGTTCGAAGCGCGGTGTGGAAAAACGTTTCACGTACTGAGCTATCGGATGCCAAACACTGAGAGCTGCGCTGCGTACCAAGCCGAAGTACGTGTGTGCCCAACGTGATGGTAAATGCAAAACAAATGACACAACTATTTCGGCACTGTGCTTCCAATGGATATCGGTTTGCCGGAAAGATTGTATCACGGGATGCGAACGTGGCACCCCACACTGGTACCTGAACTCACCCTATTATGAGAATATAAGGAGGAGCCGAGAGTTTTAATGAGTGGAGAGTAGTTAGCGTTGCATCAGATCGAAAAAATTCGCTTGAACACGTAGACATAATGGGACTCATCAATAATGAACGTGAGATATACAAGCGCTTCGATTTGAATAATGAAACTGACAAAGGAGAAAAAACGAGGGTTAGGAGAGTAAAGTCTTTAGAGTCAGTTCAGCTAATTCAGTCACCAATGATAGATAGACGAGTGAAGGCAGATTAAGTGAATCGCACTCGTGTCGTCATGGAAACAGCAACAAACGCATTTCGAGGGAAAAAATAACGGGGGAAGTGATAAAAGTAAAAAAAAACCGCGAAAACAGATAAAAAGTTGGAATCGTCAGATAGAAGTAGAAAGAAAGAGTAAACGCCACTAGGTGATCACTGAGCAGGAATAAGGTCCAACCGAATGGTGCACTTGATTCCCGAGGCATCAACTTAGAACCCCTTTTAAATGGCAAAAATGGTCGCATCCTTCTATTCACATGACAACTTGCATTCTTGAAGAGGCTGTTTGAATAACTCCGCGAACGGATACTGAAGGATATCAGCCGGTGGCCCGGCTATGACGGGATGTACACTGTCAAGACCAGCTGATTTATATAGCTAGAAAATGCCCAACACTGTGAAGACCTCTGGCACACTTTTAAGAATTTCCCTCCTTGTATAGCTGCTTGAACGTTGCGGCTGTGTTGGCAACACTGACCCATTAACCTTCCGTTGCAACTTTTGCTAGACAGGTAACAGCACTTGTACTTTATCGACGTCGTTCACAGCCTTGCTGCCGTCCTCCATGGTTAGACACTCGACCAACTCCCTTAGAGCAGGGGTTGATTGGACATAACTGTAACTAATTTCGCAAATTTGGACATCCTACGCTAATATGAGTACTTCGCCTGCCGCTACTACTTAATAGCCATGATTCGAGAGCTTTTGTATTGCAACCAACGTTGGAAGCCCCGAGTTTCCTGGTATTTTCTAAACGCAGTATTGCACCACTTTATCGCTCTGTCAGTCGTTCTCCTCCACCATCGGGTTTCCCAAAATGTCTTCTATGGCGAAATGTAGCAAATTTGTTCAGCTACTGCACGAGCCCACTTTTGTGTGGAAGCCACTTCTGTTCCGAATTGACCTGGTCCTAGTGCTTGATCCGTGCTTTGAATAGCTCGATCGCGCAGCATCGTAAAATCAATGCGTGTTAAATCCCTTCTCATTTGTTGTTTTCCTGTAAGCCAAGGTGTGTTCAGAGGTGTCCAAACACGATAACCACTCTTATCTAGGGGGGCTCTACGCGTACGTCAGACAGGTGACCATGTCTGGCGATCACGATATCAATGGTAGAATGGGTACTGCCTGTACCACACTTGGTGGGAACATTGACCTACTGCTCGAACACAATTTTTGCATCCAATCCACTAATTCCTTCTCCAGAGCACCCGCCTTGTATTCAGCAAGCTTCCAATAAGTATTGGGAAGTTTTAAGCCACCAACGATCAGGCAATTAGGTGCGTCCATTGCAGTCTGTCGTAGTAACGTACCAAGATCCTTCTCCCCTTTTCGCGTGGAGGATGGGCTACGATAGACACACTATAGTCTCCAATCTACCCCATAATCTTAGAACGCACGATACCACATGCACGTTTCTAGCACTCATGGTAAATGGAGTCCCTCGTGTTAATATTGACAATATATAAGCAAGAGAACACCTTCACCAGTCAGATACCCGGGCCTAACAGCTCGGTAGCACGCGAAGTCTATAAGTGGATTACTAATAATCGTTTAGAGAAAGCCAGGTCTCTGACACAGCAGCCACATAAATGTGTTCATAACGCGTCGCTAACTCTCCTCATTTGGTACGCACAATACAGCAACTGGTATAGCACAGGCTTGGGTTCCCTGAACGCGGTTGTTTCCCGCTAAGCTCTATGCCAAGGGGGACAACCCGTTTTTGTACCATAGCATTTCCGTCAGCTGCCTAAGTATATGAATAAAAGCTGGGCTACTGTAAAGCCTTACGCGATAATCCCTTTGTTGGCTTCACTGACCTGGGCTTGTTGGACAAACTCCCGGCGGGTCTTCTCCTATTTATCTGTGTCGGCATAACAGCACTGCACTTCGTGTATACTGTCCATCTCAGTCGTGGGAACATTTTATTTCTCCTACCACGTTGTGAATTGGTCATACCAACCATGGACTTTGGTGCCACTTCTATCAAGCGTGAGGCTACATTTCTTTTTGAAAGCACCGCCGTAGATCCCATCGCTGCATCTTCACTACCCTCTTCCGCAATACACTGATGATCCTCACTTTTATCAAGAGCAACCTTCTTCACAGCAACTGTAGGCCAAGCGTTATTTTACTGTCGTCTAGTGAAGAGCGTTGTCTAACGCAGCCGACTGCACTTGCCACAAGAGAGTAGTAGCTAGCGGTTTGCTTAGGTGTCCGCGTAATATGAGGCTCACCATCGCAAATTCCAGCGTGTGAGGCCGCATATTCGTTAGCCAAACTGGCATTGGTACGTATTACCCCGCTCATCAGAAGGGCTTTAACCTTCGATGTTAGTGTGTCCGGTACTATTTGCTACCGACCATTTGTTTGACTTGCAACCAACCTAGCCCGGTTAAGTAGTGGGTCCGGTGTACAGGTTTCCTAAAACCAGCCATGATAGGCCTTGCATAACTTTGTTGGTGAAGTATACCAGTTTCTCGATGTATTCTTCTGATACCGAGGTATAACGGTATTGCGGCTATGTGAAGAATATCATGCACACGCCTTCTATCTAGGTCCCGCCAAGTTTTAGCTTTTTCGCATGACCGGCTCCTCACTGTTGCAGACAAGAAGGTTTCATTTTCTACCCACAGCAATTTATGCCCCACGCAAGCAACATTCCAAGGAAGACTGCAACTCATCGAATTTTGAAAGCAATGCCTTAATTAGCAAGCGCTGGTTATGAAGTTACTTTTCCTTATTTTCTGGCCTAGGTACACAGTTCTTACATGCAAAATCCTGTACAGTTGTGACGTGCGCAATTGTAGCACAAGTCCGATCATGTATCAAGCGAGACCAAGTGTTTGCAAAGCACACACAGTGGAAGCAATACCACATTAATTGAGAATGTCGAGCAATGGAGTCCTAGTCTAATCTATGGCAACTGTTATGGTACCATAACAAACATCAGTCGCACTGAATTCCCTTGTTGATCTCAACGCCACAAGTGTGCTCACCACATAGCCAGCCGCCGATGTCATTGTGAAGAATACGTAACAGTCACGTTTAAAATAATATTAAGAAACCAGATAGTAGGATAGGTATGACGGCAAAATATGAAGTCACAACGGAGTAATACAATACAATATACAACAATAGTAAATACAACAGTAAACACGGTGGATTAATACGACTAAAAGGAATACTAAAAGAAGCAAATACTGGAACGAACTCACGCGCCGTTAACGAAGAAAGCAGGACGGAGGCACAGGACAAAAGATCCGTATGCCCAAGGTTTGACGATCCCATAAACGTCGAAACAGAGTAAATATGTAACACTCCGTTCCTATGGAATATTCTTCAAAGTTAATTTCGATGACAAAAACCGCGAGAGTGGTTAATTGCTGTATGGAAAAATAGCCGTACGGGGGCGTTGCGTTTGGGTACGCCAACCAAAATGTTTGTCATCGCGTGAATAAGCATTAAATAAATAGATTTGAAATGCTGACGGCAAAATGATCCAATTGCAGTTGAATAGCATATGCATGCATTTCAGGTCAGGTCAAGTCAGTTTCCAAGGATGAAAATAGGCTCACGCCTAATGAGCGTCCTGTTTCTTGTATCGGAAAGCAAACCCGAGCCCCCAGTACTTCTAGTTCTGAGTTGTCTTCGTTGCCTCTGAAAAAGAAACGAAGCAGGACAAGAGCAACCTTTGTACTTTCTTGGATCATAACCCTAACGGTCTATCACAATTGCCAACAGATTTTTTGGATGTGGATTTAGGGACTGGATGTAATAAATCACGTTCGGAGTCCGCTACAACCCTTATATTTAGTCAATCCTTTGAGCAAAGTCGAACGCTCGAAATCACTCATTGAATCATTGGAATCATTGGAATGTAGAGAGCAGAGGGAAAGACCTTTGTCAGCTCCATCACCTCCCAATCATGGCAGGTGTTTGCGCAACATCAATCAACAAGTTAGATTGTCACAGTTGCATAAGAACCAACAAGATCCCTGCATATTCAACAAGTATAAATCCAATAATCGTTTAAAACATTCCTCAGCATGCGCGTTGACGAAGGAATCAGGCAAGGAGTTCCAGTCGTTCACCACAAGTCGATAGGGTAAAATCAGAGCGAAGCCTGAGTCTCCTAGGTGTAAACAGTTTCCAGCAGTGGCCCCCAGTCGAACATTCAGTGCTAATCTGGAAGAAACCTTGGGGCTCGATTCCTATATCGTCTCGCAGAATGCGCCGAGCGTAGATCAGATCACATCGGCGACGCAGATATGCCAGAGAGAACATATTCAAGTGCTGGAGACGAATGTGATATGGCAGGTGTCGGAGCTCAGAGATGTACTTAGAACCGCACCGCTGAACTTTCTCAATCAAGCCATGTTCGAATTTTGTAAGCAGATGAACTGCGGGTAATCCATATCCGAGGTTTGGACGCAGATGGGTGGAAAAGACAAGTCTGAAGACCTCTGGCGTCAATCGTGAGAAGGCTCTTCGGATAGAGCACAGTAGTCTGTTAGCCGCAGCAACCTTCCTCAAAGTATCTTGGGTGGTTTTTAGATCAGAGCATACAATAACACCAAGGTCTCTTTCCTGTTTCACATTATTAAGCAAATAACCACCAAGGTGGTAAACACCGAATGGTTCAGTAGCACCAATGGGGAGTACAGAACATTTATCGCGATTTATAGGCAACTGCCATTTAATTGACCAATCATGCAGCCGATCCAGTGTACTTTGGAGTCGGTCAGCATCCTCAGCACTGGTTACCTTCATCCATAACTTCAAATCGTCAGCATAGATCAAACATTCGGTCCGGAGAGTTGGAGAAAGGTCGTTAATAAAGAATTTGA